AAAATGTCTGGTTTAAGATTTTCTTAATACATAAAAGCAGAACTTAATGGCACAGGATGATATGATAATTTTAAAACAAAACAGCGCCACAAAATGTGGCTTTAACTCCGAGTGTTTTTGCATTTGAGCTGCAATGTCCGCAGAAAGTTTTATGCGATTAACACTCAGAACTCTTCCTATGAGGAAGAAGTATACAAAGACCGCAAGCAGAAAACCGGAATAACCACGCAAACAGCGACGAAGTGTGATAAGCCCATGATTTCCCTCAAGAAAAACGAACAATACAGGCAAGCAAACACCAAGACAATAAGCAGTGAAACCAAAATGTGATGCCGCTTTCGGCACTGCAATATCCTAATGTCTACAACTTGATGAACCGGAACATTCCTGCTCATTCAACAAATGTACAACTTGAAGTCTTGCGTGGTTCTCACGTGCGGCTTCGTAAAATTTTTTGGCGGAAAAATGGCTAACTCGGAAAATAGGAAAGCTGGGGGCTGAAATTTTAAAGAAATGTTCCCAGCCCCCTGTAAAAGTTAAAGATATCAAATTCAGCCTCCAGACGCGTGTGATTCTCATGTATGGGCCTATGAAATTTTTTGGCAAGAAATTGCTAACTCAAGAACCAGAGAAGTTAGAAAGATGAAATTCTAACGGAATGTTCCATGTCCAAAAACCGCGTAGACAATTAACTTCCCGAACTTCGAGGACCAGTATGTCACAAATCCTAGATACCAGGTTTCCGAGCGATGGTGCAGTCACCAAAACGACAGACGATCAGTGTAAATGTTCTTGCAGTTGCATTTCAATTTCTCTCATAAATTTGCAGTGGAAGCATCATACTTTATGCAAATATGCTATTTATTCTATGATAATTTTTACCCTGCTCTCGACACCACACTGTCTTTTGGGGCAACCAGCTGAGCGCTCCGAACCCGGTGTCATTTCACTGTTCACTGGTGTTTCACTTCTCGATGCTGCATTCTCCTAAAAACATCTGGACTATGATTCCAGAAACATAATGTAATTAATGAACTGCAAGTTCCTGCTTAGAATTTCAGCCTTTTTCCACGCTGTTTTGCTTCAGAAAACCCTTTTATATCACAAGACGTCCTCAAATATGACAGCTCTAAACCCAAATAGTGCTTCATCCAAATAACGCCTCATGAGACTACGTCTGTTCCCATGCATTTTCTTTTTGTCTTAGCGAAAAATGCGAAAATGCTCTGCATGTGTTCGTGCATAATAGCATTCATAAAAGTCTAAATTTGAGGAATTTTTGCCAAAAAAATTTATTTTTATTTACTCTAATTTCCCAAATCTGCACTTCAAACATCTAAAACACACTTATTCCTTATAAAAAAAGCTATGTAGGAACGGGTGGACATTAGCGCGTACCGACAGTAAATATGCAAACAATCACTTAGAACTTACTTTCCTCATCATGGTCTACGAATGGCAATGCTCGGGAGGATAGCACACATCAGGGACACCTTGTAACTTCAAATGCGTCGACAAATGATATTATTAAGGGAACTAATTAATTTGCAAAAAAACGAAATGAACGTTAGGATCACCAACAGGCCAACCACTACGCAATGCAACATTAGACAAAACAACTGGAGAAATTGCTAGCTGCAATGCAGAACAAAACTATAATAGCTTTCCCAGATATCTAAAAAAATTCTATATTTTTTATGTTCCAGGAACAAATTAATTCTTCTATGGCCCCGGTTTCGTTCCAAAAAATTTCATTTCATAGCAAACTTTTGTGCTTCCCTTGCCCAATTTCGCATATCTCTATCTACATTTGGTGCTCTGTTTCCCCGAACAGTCGATTCTCTCAGTGAACGAAAAACTGGATTTTTCTTCAATCTCACAAACCAATCAAAAAACAAGATAATAACGATCTGCAGAAAAGACAAATATTGAAAAAACAAAAAAGCGAAAATGTTAATTGTAATAACTACTGAAGCTAATATGCTAAACATACTAAACTGAAGAATTCAGTGTTGGATAACCACTATCTTTTGAGAAGGGAATTTGATCAAACTTTTTAAAACAACACGGAATATTTGGAAACTTGCCACAAAGCCATTCGAACTTGCCGGAGTGGCCATACGGAAATCAATAGATTGCTGCTTCTTAGCCGAACCGCTACTAGTTGAACGCCGATGTGTAAATGCGGCACTCGGGCTGAATTCGCTGCCTTAACATGATCGCTATTAACATTCATCTTGCGATCCCTGAGTTGTTCGCTCTCCAAAGAAATTTTTTATATTATATTTCTTGTCCGACTTCTAATATTTCTGCATCAGAGGTTCCGTATTTTTGGTAGCACTTGTTCTATTAACTTACGGCAGCTCGACCTAGGAGTAATAGCCAGCATGAAATTGCGCTGAAAGATCTTTATTCAATAAATGAGATCAAGGTCTGCAATATTAGAAGAGATACAATCATAGGACATTTCCAGTTGGAACAGAAAAGCTAGAAAGCAGAAAGATGAAGGTTCGGGGCACCAGCTAATTGAGCACTAGGTGATACAGCTTCGGCCATAGCTAGCACAGAATAGCCGCCAGTTGCGACAACGACGTCAAAGTGCACTATGATGAAATGACAGTTGGTTAAAGCATCCAAACAAACACTTGTGTATTAAGTAATAATTCCTCCCTTGGCTTAGCTGCTTAAATTTAGTGTTTTCAGCCCAACTACTCGCTTCTCAGCACAAAAAAGAAATTCGCGTCTCCTGGCTAAATATGTGTCTCGCATATTATTTGATTAAATACTAATCGCATATTATTTCCAACTATTCACAATCTATTCTGAAGCTGACGAGGGCAAATACATATAGCCAGAATAATCATGGCTCTTTATATTTTTTCTCATAAGAAGTGACGAATAAGTCAGCAAAACTTGGGAAAGACCGTGATGCATTGGAAGAAAACTGTAACATTTCTCAGCCTTGTTGTACATGCGTGTTATTTTGTTCAAATGTTTCTACTGAACTGTTTACGAACTTCTTAAAATATTTCAGTTCCCCCCGTCTTCAAACAAAATGTTTGCTTTCCAAAGAAGAATCAATTCTGTCATAAACTTTAAAAGAAGCATTCGATTTAGGCCTGTAAAGCCTAGAGGTATTTCGAAATTCAACGTGCTGTTGAATTTTTAATCTAAAGCAGACGGAGAAGCATTCTTCGATTTTTAGGAAACTAATAAATATTAATTTTGCAATAAAACGTAACCCTTAAGCACTAACCACCTTTCCAGGAAACAGTGCTTGCTGGTGTGGATGGGGCAGTAAGCGACCGGGATGTGGCAATACCAAACGAGCTGTTTGCGGCAGTTAACAAAGTCTTCTCAATGAACGGTTTGCAACCACTTTCATACCACGAATCATCCGCTATAATGCCCGAATCATTGGAAATTTGTCCGTTTTCATTTGGCGTCTCATCCACACCCATACCAGACATCAAACGTGATAATGTGTTCCTGGAAAAAAAAAGAAACAAAATTCCATTCAAAATGGGTCATTAGATGACATAACACTGGCCCAACTAAT